CAAGAGATACCCTACTTTGCCCCTTCCCCCAATAGCCATCATGGCTGATTGGGCCCATTCCAAATAGTTTGATCCATCAAACCTTACGGTTGTAATCTGAAAACCTGTCTCAGAACCACCACCATAACTGCTGTTCCTAAAACTGCCTTCTGGCTGATTCTTAAACTCCATTTTGGTCAAGAACCAGAAGTCTCAAAATTAGGGTTACTACAGTCACAAACAGCACTGGGACTATCAACCACAATCACGAAATCAGTATAGAACCAATCTGTACTCACAGTAGATGTACATGAAACATGTATAAAACTGATATGAAATCAATAACCACACACAACAGCAACAGTCTGAACTGTTTTCACCCCCTTAGAAGAGTTCGAAACCCCAAAAGAAAACTGAAAAAACAGTTTGAAGAGCAATCTGATATGCTGAAGCCGAATTGGGGGTCTTAATCAGTCCTAAAAGCAGATTCTCAGCCGTACGCCCCAGACAGTACTGTACGGATAAGGCTTATAGTAGGGTTAATTTGAAACCCTAAAACTGATCAGTGTTGAGGAGAGAACTGTTAGGGTTTGCCGCAGTATTAGACCACAAGGTTCAGTCCAGTACTAGGGTTTGCCGCAGGATTAAGACAAAACCCTAGAGAATAGAAAGATAAACCCTAGAGTGGTTCGGCCGCCCTTGCTAGATAGGTCCAACCTATCTTCTCTGATAGTACTCTCAGAAAATAAAAAACTTACAATAGGATGTTGTTCGCTGCCTTCCAAGGTTACCCGAACCCTAGCCTTCTCTGATTCCTCCTGATCACCAACTCGCTGCAACTGTGGCAATTCTTCAAACAGCTGCTAATCCTCTGGAGATCTCCAAGAACCAGTCAACGAACTCTCTTTCTCAGCTTCCAGCCTTAGATGGTTCTCATGTGGTCAGCTAGACTAGACTCACATGAGAAACCCTAGCTCTGATACCAAGTAGAAGTTTAGGACTGTTATCAGTCTTGAACCCTAAGGGATTTCAGGTTCGACAATAAGAAGAAAGGTAAGAGAAAAGAGGAGGAAGAGGGAGGAGAAGCAGTAGGCACAAGAGTTGAAAAGGAGCAGAAGCTTGATGATCTGCCGCTGCCACTTTAATTAATAATTATAGGTTATGCTCATTACATGGAAAGGACAGATCTGCCCTTAGTCTTTACATAACAAACAGAGCAAAAATAAGACTGAAATAAATAACAACTGAAACAACTAAATGACCAATAGCTAACCCTAGGAAGACTAGAACACCTTCTACCCTACGAACACAGTGGGACTGTAGCTGTGGGGCCCACATCAGTGTTCTCTACATGTTATGCCATTTTTGGTTAGGTCATCTGTCATTTTCTTCATTAGGTTTATTGTTTCCAACATTGTTTAAAGGAGTAAGTTTGTTGAGTCTATGTTGTGTCTTGCTTGTTCTTAAGCGTTGTAAAAACTCTTATTCCATAAGATCTACTATTCCCTTTAATATTGTTTGGGGCCCTATCATTTGCCCTGTATGGGTGGCTATAAAAAATTCCGTTATGTTTTCTGATGATTTTCACGATATACCTGGCTTGTATGGGTGCCTAAGCTTGTGAAACAATTCCATTGATATGTACTCACCTAGTTTGATACCTGCATCAAAAATTTTTCGATCAGACATTGCTAAGAAATATTTTGAGAAAGATCTTGCCTTCTATTTTGAAAATTTTGGGGTTGTTCATTAGAGCTCTTGTGCTTGTACTCTACAACAAGACGAAGTAGTAGAGAGGAATTACTGACACGTTGTGGAAGTTGCTGGGAGAGGAGCATTCTTTTTGCTACCCTTATCCCTATGATATTCTGGGGTGATGCCATCATAACAACCACCTATTATATTAACCATATGCCTTCTCGGGCCTTGCGGTTTAAGTCTCCTTTTAGTGTCCTCTTTCCAAATGTTGATATCTTCTCTATTCCTCTATGTTTCTTTGGTTTCAGCTGTTATGTACATATTCCTAGTTCCTAGATACACAAGTTTGAACCCAAGGCTCAAAAGTGTATCTTCCTTGGTTATTCATCCACATAGAAGGTTTGTGTTGTTTTGATTCATCAGTTGCACTAGGTTTGTTTCTATGGATGTCACCTTTGTAGAGTCCATTCTTTTTTATAGTCATTCTTCTAAGGGGGAGTGCTTTCTTGAGATGTTTACTTCACCCCTTTGCTTGCTAGCACCTGTTGAACCTTTTGTTGAGCCCTCTACAATTCTTTCTATTCTCGTGATGGAGTCTTATTCTCCTCTCAACTCTCTCATTTCTATTCCTCCTACTAGCACTTTTGTTTATCATTCATCCTATTGTTTAGAGGTGGTGCCAATGGCAAAGACAAAGGCATGCACAGGTTGTTCCTTCACCTCTAGTTGAGCCTCAAGTGCTTCCAGTCACTAAAGAGAGGACATTTCCTACACCACCATTTCTACTACTTTCCTCCCAGACCTTGACCTACCCATTTTTGTGAGGTTAGGTAAGAGGAAATGTATAGCTCATTGCATTTAACACTTTTCGTACATATTGTTGTTCCTTTCCTACTATTCTTTCCTAGCCTCTATTTTCTCTCAACCCATTCCCAAGTTTGTAACTCAAACCTTGGCCAAACCAGAGTGGAGAGATGCTATGAGAATTCAAATATAAGCATTCATAAGAACAATACATAGGACATTGTCAACTTGCCTACTGGGAGGAGCCTATTGGTTATAAGTGGGTTGACACCCTCAAGTACCATGCTGATGAGATTGAGAGATGTAAGGCATGACTTGTTGCCAAGAGTTATACTTAGGTGTATGTAATAGATTATACGGAGACCTTCTCTTTAGTGGATGAATGACTTTTGTGAGGGTTCTATTGTTTTTGGCAGTGAGTTGTGATTGACCCCTTTATCAGTTTGACATGAAGAATGTGTTCTTGAATGATGATCTAATTGAAGAAGTGTCTATGTCCCTTCCCCTTGGTATGTATGGTAAGGAGATGCAAGGTAAGGTATGCAAGCTAAAGAAGTCATTTTATGGATTGAAACAATCTCCACGTGCTTGGTTTGATAGGTTCAATGCTGCCCTTGTTTAGTTTAGTTACACTTAGACTCAATCAAATCTTGCCCTTTTTGTTAAGAGGAGAGATACTTGGGTCACCTTCCTCATTGTTTATGTTGATGATATTGTTGTTACTGGCAGTGTGATCCATAGGAAGTTGATGATCTCAAGAGGTTCCTTAATTTTGATTTTGAGATCAAAGACTTGGGGGAGTTGCAATATTTCTTGGGAATTATAGTTGCTAGATCCAAAGAAGGCATCTTCATCTCCTAGTGGAAGTATGTGTTGGATCATCCCACTAAGGCTAGGAAGCTTGGTAAAAAACTTGCTTCTACTCCTATTGATTTGAATTATAAGCTCTCAACTAATGTTGGTGAACTCTTAACTGATAGGGGAGCATTTCAGAGATTATTGGGGAATCTCCTAGACCTTTGTATGACATGACTAGACATTTCATATGTTGTGATTGTGATTAGCCAATTTATGCATGCCCCTAGAGACACATATGGGTGCTGCTTAAAGGGTGCTATATTATCTTAAGGGAACTCTTGGAAAGGGTATATTCTTTGCCAAGCATGGACATATAAAGTTAGAGGCCTATTTGACTTCGTGGCACCTATACAGATATTGATTGTTCAGATAGTATAGATGGCAGCTGATCCACATCAGATTGTTGTGCTATGGTAGCTGGAAATATTGTTTCCTAGAGGAGTAAGAAGTAGTTTGTGGTAGCATCAATCTTCAACTGATGCAGTGTATAGGGTTATTGCCCATGGGGTTTCATAGTTGTTATGGCTTAGATCTCTCCTAGAGGAGATGGGTATTACTTTTGATAGGCCCTTGATGTTGTATTGTGATAATAGATTGCTATTAATATTGCTTATAATTTGGTTCAGCATGACAAAGCTAAGCACATTGAGGTAGACAAACACTTCATACGAGAGAGTAACTTTAGGGGAAGTGTATCTTCTTTTCATTTGCTTAGAAGAGCAGCTAGCGGATATTTTGACCAAGGGAGTTCCTAAGGTGAAGTTACAACACTACGTAAACAAGATGGGCATGATTGACATCTAAACTCAGCATGAGGAGAAGTGTGGAGAGATTGGGTCAAGTGGGCCTTAGTTTTCTTTCTTTATTCATCAGTTTTATTTCAGCTGTAGTGGGCCTTCTTTATGGGCCTTAATACTTGTTATTTCTTTTGTTTTTTGGTCAGCCGTCTTGTTAGGGGCACTGATTTAATTTATATCTTTTCGATATTCAGCATATATAATTCAATTGAGGGACAAAGAGAGAGAGACACGATTAGCTCTCTTCCTCTTCCCTTTTCTTCCATTCTCTTCTTCCTCCTTTTGAATCTCTTTTTCCTCTTTTTTCATTTCTTTTGGCTTAATTTCAGATTTATTGCCGGTGTGATTGCAACTATTGGATAATAACCATAACAATATAAATATGTATACACAAATGTTAGAATATTTTCTCTTAGCACACATACAAGGACCAAAATTTCGATATGATATGCCCTGTATTGGGCGTATCTTATCGTATCTTTTGGTTTTCGATACACCTGTTTAAAACTAAAATTTAAAGAAAACTAAAAAAATGGGGGGGGGGACTATCAATTCAAAGTGCCGATACACAGAGGTGTATCGATACTTTGAACCATGCACTCATATGCATCTGAACTCAGAGTTATTCATGTAGAAATTATGTAATCATTTAAGTTCCATTTAGCACATTTCTGTCTTTAAGTACTTAGCCCAAATTTTCTTTTATCTTCCTTTCTCTTTTGGAGAATTCTATTTGCAGTAATCTATTCTTCTTCTAGAATCGTTTAACTTTATATATGTTAAAGTTTATTGATATTGTCTTGTTTAGATCCTTGCAACAAGGGTGTGTGTGAAAATTGATATTTTCAATTATTCATTTTCTAGCCTGCTGCAGAATTTATTGCATTTAGAATTGGAGAATTGAGAGGCCTTTCAAGATGGCGCACACGATACCAGGGTATTGGGTTAGATGAAATGCTTATAGATGTTGCTACTGAAAAAGCTGGTATTTTTCTTGTACATGTTGAACGATTTATGAGGGTATTGACTACTGTGATTTACCAGGTATCTTTTAGATTCTGTCTGCTTTAAATAGGAATTAAATATAAAAACTAGAAAGCAGTAGTTTAGCCTTTGTTTAATGAAAATTTTCATTTCTTATTACTTGTACCAATAAAGATTGCAACTTAGCATAAGATATAGTTACACATTTTGCTTGAGATTATTATGGTAAGGTTTATCCATTCATGCTTTTAACTTGTTTGTATGCAGGACTTGGAGGAACTTACATTGTACTATGCAGACTTTGTGATAGTTTGTGCTAATGTTAGGCAAAAATTCATGTATTTTTTTTTCTCTTTTTTTTTGTAATATGTCTATTTTTTTGTTCTTTGCTGGCTTATTGATGCAGTCAAGTTGTGGCATCTGTCCAGTGTGAGAATTGGCTCACTCGGGTTGGGATAAACACCAAAGGGGGGTCTTTCTGACAAAAACAATTGTTTTTGGAACAAGATAGGGATTGATACCTAGGTTATGTTTGCATTGTGGAATCTGCCATCCATGTAGGGAGTCTAACCTGATTAAGGACCCCTAGGTTCTCTATAATCAAGGATCCCTTAAGACTGTTTGGTTTGAAGGAAAAAGTTAGGAAAGGTAGTGAAATCTTTACGAAACTTGTATAGGTTTTCCTAATTTTCCCTTCCTTCAACTACCTTTTCCTTCAAACCAAACATAGAAAGGGAACCAGATGGATGCTCTGTGGTGTTCTTGTCTACTTTTTATTTTCTGTCTAGGTACAAGTAACTTGAGAGTTGAAGTGTGTTGACAAGCTTATTTAGGATGCTGTTGTGTTAAAGGTATAATTCTCGTAATATTCTCATGTGAAGGATCCTGGATTTATATTCTGTATGGAGATTTCCAAGTATGCTATTGTTAGGGAAATGGCTCTTCTGTTGGATATGTGATTTACCTCTCAAGCTATGGCTATTTCAGTAGTAGTCCTACCCCTGTTGGGGGGATGATATGTAGTGAAAGAGGGAGGTGACTTCTGATGTATGGAATAAGGCGCTTAAGCTGGGCAAGTAATACGTTAATGTTTATAATTTTGGCTTGATTCTTGGCTGTGGTGGAGGTTTTGGTTGGCTTATGCAAATGAGGATATGGGCATGGACGTGCTAAACATATGGATACAACCATCTTTTTCTTGAAATCTTGGATACATACGGATACAGTAATTATCTCTTAAGATTTGATTATACTTCTAATATCTACAAAATTTTTGTAATTTGTGATGTATATATATTACACAAAGTGGAAGCCTTTGCATGGTTGGCAGGTATTAGGAAGATCTTCATGGTGGATAAGCTTAAACAACATGGTTTTATATCAGTAAATCAATGAGTTCTATGCAGATAAGGGGTTGAATATTACTCATGTATTTATATAATGTTTCATTGACATCTTGGACTTCTTTGCCCATCTAGTACCAACTACCCACTTCACCTCTTCAGATAACTTGTCAGTCATTGAGAGTAGCTTTGGGAAAGGCTGACTTTATGGAAGATTAACTATTTGAATGTTATTTAAGGGTGGTGCTTGTTATTTTTCCATATTCTCTTATGGGTTTAATCTTTTCTTCAAAGGGAGTTTGTGCAATTATGATTGTTATTTTGTCATAAGTGCTGTTTCTATTATAATTAGTGTGAGATCATTCTTTTTCTTTTAAAACGAAGGTTATTTGTTCTTTCAGTTTCAAAATTTTTTTACCTGGCTCTCAAAATGTATAAAGCTGCTAATGTCTGAACCGAGTGATCAGCTTCCACCATTTAATAGGTTAGATGTGAGATGTTCCTTTTATACTCCATATACTTGTAAGTTTATTTTGCTTGTGCCTTTATTATGATACACATTAATTATATTTTTAATTTTGGCTACCAGCGAACTTGTAGTTATATTCTTGAAGTTTCTTTATGATCAAGATCCTGTCAAGCAACTGCTGGAAGTCTCTGAAGTAGATCAGAGTATTGAAGTTGATTGGTAAACCCATTACCTTTATTATTATTGTTATTACTTTCATCATCATAATTGTTATTATTATTATTATTATTATTTTCTCATTGCTATTGTTGTTGTCATCATCATCATTAAATGCCCAGGGAGGTTGTAGCAAGTTTTCAATAGGTAAATCCTCACATCTGTCATTTCTACAAGTTGCCTTTGTACTGAGCCACTTGAGGCAAGCCCAAAAAAGTCCATGTTAGGGTCTAAAATAAAGAACTATAATTAGAATTACAAAACTAATCTTTTATGTAGAAAATAAGAATTTAAGACTCTAACATAGACTTCTTTCAGCTTGCCTCAAGGGGGTTGGTCAGGGGTCTGGGGTTAGAGCTTCCGGCCCAGCTTCCATCCTTAAAAAGAACAAAAATGTACAAATTTTAACTAAGGTACACAACTGTGCTGAAGCGCAAAGCACACCAGGTGCACTACTTAAGTGTTGTGCCTGGGACAGGCACAAGCCTTAAAATGTGCATCGTCAATGTGCCTAGGTGCACCTTTTAAATCACTAGGAAGCACTACTAAAAATGAACCTTTCTATCACATAGGTGCTATCTGATTTGACTTTCACATCATTTGAGTGAGTATCCCTTTTAATATGTGCATAACCAAACTTCTGTAGCAGATGTTTTAATCATAGATACCTGTTCCGAGATTTTTCATAATACCGTGCCAAGATACATTCAATCATTATTGATTGTGGGCTAGCTTATATGCAGCAGATTTTGAGGACGTAACAATAAATAGAAAGAAATTTGAGATGAATTAAAGTAAAAAGTGAAATACAGCTAGCTGTACTATATGATTGCATTTATGAAGAGGGATTTTGGCAATAAGAAATTGTTAGAAACCAAAAGCAAGCTCAGTGTTAGAAGACTTTGCAGAGTCATTCTTCTGTTCATTCTCTCATTAGAGGTAAAGGCATTGGATGTTCCTAACATGGCTGAAAGTTATTTATCTCTAGCTGGCCTCATCTTGAAAGGTGTGATCCCATGGGTCAGTCGATTCTACCTGCTAGAGGCAATGGTTAATGGTGTTAAGGGTGGGCTTCTTTTACATGTCCAATCTAAGGGAACATTCAAAGAAATTGGTAATGCACTAAGAGGTTACATTGATGTCAAAAAAGATAACATAGAGTGGGGGGTATTAGTTTTTCTCTGTCTTCTAATGTGGGGGAGATCTTTATCTGGAATTCCTAAGTTGTTGGATTTAGTGATAAATGGTTTTGCTATAGTGCTACAAGTGGTGGTGGAAGGAGTACACAGACGTTTAGGTTAGTATTGAATCCTAGTCTGGGAATGGGGTTGTACAACTAACTGAGTGGGGTAGAGAAGGGAAGATCCTGTGGCTGAAGGCTTTTAATCACTCCTTGGTATGGTTGATTTGTGGAAGGAATGTTGTGGACCTTTTGAGAGTTTACAATAGGTGAACGCAATAGATGGATTGTCAATCTGTGGAGGGAAGGGGCCCTTGAGAAGGTGAAAGAGAGATCAAGTTTGTCTCAAGGTGCTAAGGCTGTGGCTCACGTAGTGGCGACCATCAATGGTGCACAAGTATCCACTGTTGATGGTCCATCTGTTGGTGCTGCAGTAGTGGTCCTTAGATGAGTTGGTGAATCAATGGGAATTTGCTTTCTCAAAGAGAATTCAAAATGTGTATCTATGAGGGTGTAAAGTCTGGCTTTGGCTGATGTGTCAACTAGGGTGGGCCTGGTGGATAATTGCCTTTTATGTAGGCTGTGTATGGGCTTGGGTGCTGGACCTTGCCTCCTCTTGGTCCACCAAATGTGGTGTCAATTGGCTTTAAGCTGAAGATGCAAGGGGGGAGAGAACAACATGGTACCCTATGGGTAGCAAATAATTCAGTGAATGATGGCAAAATGTATGTAACAAGGAGCTCATGGAAACTACTGTTGCGAAATATAGAGGGAGAGAAGAGGAAAATTTTCTTTGTTGATCATAAAACATATTGAGCATACAACTTAAATAAGAAAAGATAGGAAAGACAAACCCCTAGAATCTCTCTCACTCAGGGATTGACTAAATCTTTCCCTTAATCCTAGGATATGACTTTCCTAAATTTATTCAAATCTAATCTT